ATCTTGAGGCTGAGTTTTACAACCACAGAATCACTTCCGACTACGCGAAGTATTGCAAGCTCCTGTCCTATCTCCCCAAGGAGATATCAATGCAGGTTCGTGACGTCATCATTTCTCAGACCGAAAACCGCTATGAGGCTCTCAAGGAGGCCACGATTAAGCGTGTTATGCCCTCTGAGAAAGTTCGCCTGCAGCAGCTTTTCAGGGATCTACAGCTGGGCGACAAACTGCCCTCAACCCTGCTACGAGAGATGCAGCAACTCCTTGGTTCCTCAACCATGGATGAGACGTTACTTCGCGAACTATGGCTACAACGGCTACCGGAAAACACGCAAGCGATTCTCGCTACAGTGAGCTCCGTTTCGCTCACTCAACTAGCAGATTTAGCGGATCGAGTTATTGAACGATCACAGCCACAAGCCAACGCCAGCAAGGTCAATGCCGTCGCGTCCCAGGGCACTTCTATCACTGGCTTACAGTCAACTATAGAAGCCCTCCAAACACAAGTTGCGACACTTAGTCGCCAGGTTCAACAGCTTACTATGAACCGTCGTCGTCATAGCCGCTCAAAATCGCCCTGCAAACGTTCTAAGTCTAGCAACAGGCAAGCTAGCTGTTGGTACCATCAGCGTTTTGGTACCGCAGCTCGTAAATGTGTCAAGCCTTGCAACTTCGCCGAGAAGCAGGGAAACTTCTCGGCCGGTCCGTAACGGCGACGGACGCGACCGGCCAACACCAAAGTCGCCTCATCCGCGTTAGGGATTTAACTTCCGGCACCGAGTTTCTAGTCGACACTGGAGCCGAAGTTAGCGTTATACCCCGTAGCCCAGATGAGGTCATCTCACCATCGCCGACCAAGCTGCGTGCCGCCAATGGCACACCAATCGCAACTTTCGGCGAAAAGCTGCTAACACTCAATTTAGGCCTCCGGCGAACCTTTCGCTGGCCTTTCATAATCGCTGCCGTGCCTTTCGCCATCATAGGCATAGACTTTCTTCAACGCTTCGACCTCATCGTCGACGCTAAAAGGAAGAAGCTTATCGACTCTAGGACACAGCTCAGTGTTATCGGGACTAGCGCCAACGTGGCTGCTATCACTCCCATTCGTGTCCTACCTCAAGCTTCACAACCTTTTCTAGAACTTTTCAGCAAGCATCCTAAACTCGTTCGCGTCCTGAACGACTTGCCTCCTGTGACGTCAAACGTCATGCATCACATTTGCACTAAGGGCCCACCTGTTTCGGCCCGCCCTCGCCGACTAGCCCCGGACAAGCTCAAAGCTGCTAAGGCGGAATTCGAGCAAATGCTCGAACTGGGAATCATCCGCCCGTCCAAAAGTCCATGGGCATCACCATTACACTTGGTGCCGAAGAAATCCGGTGACTGGCGCCCCTGTGGTGACTACAGGGCACTTAACAAAGTTACCGTCCCGGATAAATACCCCATTCCGCACATGCACGACTTGACCTCAGCTCTAGCTGGTAAGTCTATCTTTAGCAAAGTCGACCTAGTTCGCGCCTACCATCAGATACCTGTGGCGCCAGACGACATTGCTAAAACAGCAGTCATCACGCCATTCGGCCTATTCGAGTACCTCAGAATGCCTTTCGGCCTCAGCAACGCTGCCCAAACTTTTCAGCGTTTCATTCATGAGGTAACGCGAGGACTCGAAGGCGTTTATCCTTATTTAGATGACATACTCATCGCCAGCTCTTCTGACGAGGAGCATCTTCGTCACCTCGACGCTCTCTTCCAACGCTTAACACAGCATGGGGTTACCGTCAACCCCGATAAATGCGAGCTTGGCCAAAGTTCCATCGACTTTCTTGGCCACCGCATATCCGCCTCTGGTATCGAAGCTCTGCCAGACAAAATCCAGGCACTGAAGGACTATCCTGCTCCCAGTTCCTTCAAACAGTTACGCCGATTCCTTGGCCTGGTTAACTATTATCGACGCTTTATTCCTAACTGCGCGAGCATTGTTCAACCAATGACTGACTTGCTCCGCGGTAAACAACGGTCTTTTCATTTTACAGACGACGCTAGACTGTCTTTTGAGAAGCTCAAAGACGCTATCTCCAACATAGCGCTTCTCGCCCATCCAGACACGTCTGCACCACTCTCCCTGACGACTGACGCATCCGACACTGCCGTCGGTGCAGTTCTTCAACAACTCATCGACCATCGATGGATACCTCTAGGTTTCTTCTCGAAACGTTTACAACCTGCCGAATCGCGTTACAGCACCTTCGGTAGGGAACTGTTAGCTATCTACCTAGGTATCCGACATTTCCGTCACTATCTCGAAGGTCGACATTTCACAGTCTTCACTGACCACAAGCCATTGATCTACGCAATCAATGGCGCAACGGACAAGTATTCTCCGCGGGAAACTAGACACCTAGACTACGTTTCTCAGTTTACGACAGACGTACGACATGTCTCAGGTGCTCTCAATCCCGTCGCGGATGCGCTTTCACGCATTCAACAGATCAGCTTATCGCCTGGCACCAACATTGATCTAGCCGCTATGGCTGCTGCCCAACAAGCTGATCCCGACATAGACAAGCTACGACGCAACACCACTGAGACGATCACCATTGATCGACTCAAGCCAGCATTCCTCGACAAGTCTGACTCTTCGGTGCAGCAAGCACCTTCACAGCCTGCGCCATCACAGCTCGCACCGCAACCTCAGACGAGTCAGTCCGCTCCAGCAGAACCGACAACCTCAACCGACAGCACTCCTACTCGCCCTACTATCAATCGACGCGGTAGGAAACTCAAACCTCCAGTTCGATTTTCGGACTTCGTTCGCACTTACTATTTTACATAGAACGTGCCTTTGAAATTTTCTGCTCTTACCAAACGTTTTTGAAAATCCACAAAAAAGATCAAAACGTTTTGAAATTACCAAAAAAGAGCAAAATCTTTTGAAAACCCAAAAACAGCTTTGCACGTTTTTCGCTTTACACTCTTTTGTGTATGGCTATGCACTTACGCTGCTTTTTCATTTTACTTTCCATATACACCGCCGGTTGGTTGCATCTCGGTTTCACTTTCGCTGGATCTCCGCACGTCAACTGCAAGTGGAACGAACTTCCTGTTCAACCGCCCACGTGAACTTTACTAACTGTCCCCCCACAAACAGTTTTTTTACCGTTTCGACACCGTAGGGAGGACACGGGTGGGAGCCCGCTAGGGTCCGATTGCATGGTTCTCCCCCAGCAGCTGCATCAGGTTTCACAACCTGGTCTCGCAGAAGGCTGGCCCGCGACGGACAGTCCTCACGTAGATCGAAGGACTGCTTACACAGTCCCTTCTGGGAGAGGGCTATGTAGCAGTCTGGAGATTCCCCGGTTTGCCTGTGTAAAATTCTAACTAAAATTCTTTCATTGTACACCTAGGCAACCGGTGTGGTTTGTTGAACTGCTTGCTGAGTTCGAATGCTTTACTTGCTCATCGCCATTTTTGCTTGGCGCTCGTTTCGGTTGCAACTCGCAACTGCCCTGTGTGCTGTGCTTGCTCCGTTCCCCTAGCTAGAGCGTCCACGGTGTCGTTCTTTTATAGCTAGATAACAGGGAATCTTTTACTGTACCAATAAAAGTTTCCCTGCAACTCGATCTGTCTTCTGGAATCGCTCTCTGGGCTCCCGGTACAGGCGACCCTCTAAATTAGTGAATCCGTGGTAAGTACAAAATGTCCGAGTTGTTTAAAAAATACCACGCAATACAGTTACGCAAGTTTACCACAATTTGCATGCGTGACGTATGCAAGTTGGGAGAAGAGTATCAAGTACGCAGAACAAACCAAATAAAGTGGAATGAAATTTAGCCAGCTTAAAAAGACCTAGTTTAAGTGTAAATTGGTTTAGCCCAACTGCGGTGAAGAAGCATCATGAATGCAACATCAGTCCCAGCATGGGGCAGTATATAACGCGAGGAGGCCCAATCCTGGGCGGATTCGAACCGGTGACCTTATAGTTGCAAACCAGGTGCGTAGACCACTCGCAAATACTCATCTTTAGCTGAGCATGGTCACACACTGGTTTGGAGTTGTGTACCATTCACTCCTAGAGGAGTATTTAATGGAGACCCATCTTATGCGTCGTTTCTCTAGCTTTTAAGCTGGGCAATGCTAGTGAAATCCCTGAGTCAACAAGTAAACGTTGGGTTATTAGGCGCGATAAATTGCCAAACCACTTCTGCCTAACGCTGGGAAGTGTGATCAAAAGTTCAGTACCATACTGAATTATCGGATAGAGAAGGAATCAAACGGATAGCTATGTTATCCAATTCAGCGCACAACGAGTTGTAATGCAGTCAATTCTGTGTTGGAAACAAAGTCCAACGGAGTTACTCAAAAGATGATTTTTAAAAGGAGGATCTTAAGCAAGCGTACGATACACGCCATGAAAGTGAGCGGTCCCGAGGCAATGGCGAGCGCAAAAGGCATCAGCAGTACGCCGGTACGCAGTACCGACGCCTCGCGGCAACCACCACCGGTAGTGAGCAGGCTAAACGTACGGCGAGAGTCGCTCCGTCCCTACGCAGGCTGGAATCCGCACCGTCGAATTACAAGACCGGCTTGTGAGCCTTAAGGCTAAGGGTCAGCATGGCGAGCGCGCACAGAAGTTGAATAGCTAGTGGTTTCAAGTGTATAATGGACAAATGCGTCAACCACCCATAAATGACATGTAAGGATTTTCAGTAGTATATATCGGATTCAGCAACCGTAGATGCACAATGCGGGAAGTGGTCCAGATGAATCCTGAAGAAAATCACTACCAGTTAGTAATACTGTATTGGAGATATGAAAAGCATGGACGTAAGAAGAGTGAAAATTTAATTCCTTGGGTGACACATGATGGTCACATCAACAAAGTCTAAGCCATACGGAAACTGACATCGTGACTGAAACAACAGTTGAGGCAAGCGGTGTAGACGTTGGCGAGAACAAGGCAGAACAGTTAGTAAAGAAGCACAGCAACATTTACGGACTCATCCCCATCTCAGGAGTAAGTTGGAGAGCGTCAAAAGTGAGATAAAAACATACCGGTTCAAAAGCAAACTTACTGTGGCAGAGCGTGGCGTGCGTTTGGCTGATGATGGGGTAGTGGATGGAGTGCATTTGACTTGGGGACGTCGGCGTCGGCAACGCAACCATTCTACAGAAGACGAACTGTCCGATAGTTCGTCGGATAGTGACGAGACCTCGGACTCAGTGACTGAATCGTCCTCGTCAGAGGATTCAGAAACATCGGTGCTGGTTTCCGCTCCATAATCACTATCAATATTGTCCTCTCTGAAAAGAACATGATGCAATCAATAGATGAACCAGACTGTTGAGTAGCAGCAGTGCAGTGTTTGCTGCTGTGGGTAATTAACTTCGGTTCCGAAATATGAAAATTTGGAATATTTGCCACGTTTATACGCTGTTATAGCAGGGACACATCAGCAAAAATACTCAAAAGTTGTTTCATCTGAACTAGGTATCAGCAATGTGTCGGCACGTAGGAACGAGGCTTCGATGCCTCGCGACCACCATCAGTCGTATATGGGCTGGGAAGATTGTAAGGTTGTCCGCACCTACACAGATTTAAGACGCTGACAGGATTACAAGGTTGATGCCTTATTCTTTCGGCCACCAGCGAACTTTCACCGGAACCATGCTTAAAAATATGACAGACGATAAATAGTAGCATAGTTTCAACCCCAAACCTGCTCCCTATACGGTGGTAACGAGTGCGACAACTGAAGGGTGATAGTGTCATGTTACAAATAGCTACGCAGCTACGTCGATCGTTGCAAGTATCCGTTTCGCAGAATGAGAGTCACTGGTACGACATTGCTCCGTGACAGAGAGGATACACGTGTAGCATGCCCCCAAAATAACAGGGCAGTCGTCCCATTCACACCCGCGAATAGGTAATACTAAAGCCAGCATCGTGGTGATGATGGGGACATCATTGTCATCATAATCAACAGCAGTACATCAGCCATTTGAACTGATGCTTCGCTGCCATATAATTATGGTGACCTATGGAACGAAGAAGGATAAGAGGAAGAGAATGCGGCCCTACGGTAAAACCTTATTAAGCTAAACAAACACTCAGGGCCAAGGTGCCTACAATTTGTGTAGACAACATACTGTCACAAACAGCTGGTTATCGTGTAAAGGCAGCATCGGCGAGACAGCTCCCTTGCGGCTTTCATTGCCGCGCGTCAAAATCAGCCATTACTCCGCAGATAACTCAGCACCAAACACACTTAAAACAGGCAATCCGGTTAGGAGACGGCAGCAGACGCGCCACTGGTGTCGGTTGCGAGCTATGTCCTGTAAAGTCTCGAACCAAGCACAAGGTGAGTCACGTGGACTCCAGCCCGGAAGGCGAGACGGACCAACGGCACCCATTTTGGTCGTCAGTGACTTCATTTCAAACTGCCAAGTCAACTTATGTCCACCTCGAGACCTGCGCCACTCTACATCGGGCAGACTAAACAAGGCGCTCCTAAGTAAGCGGTGACTACGCATACGTAGCACATGCCCAAGCCAATGCTATTTATTCAGTGCTATCTGTCTTTCTAAGAAACCAGCTTGATTATCACTGCCCAGTACACGTTTATCGCACATTGTCGTTGCGGACATGGTGGTGCCACCCGACACCAGCAATGGTTCGCAGACAACGATGATCAAAGACTTGAAGGCGCCTCAGATCTTCAGAACGAAGGGGCCAAGTCTCACTCCCATAGAGTAGGATGGCTTTTATTGTGGACTTGTAAACACGGCCTTTTGGATGGAGGATAACCCATTTTTGACGCCACAGATTCAAAAAGACAGTTCAAGCTTTAGCAATGCGTGAAATTACTTCAGTTGCTATGCGCCCATCGTAGATGTTACAGCTGCCAAGGTAAGTGAAGTGATCAACTACCTTGAGTTTCTCGCCATCAAGGGCAAAGGGAGCATCAAATGGCTGATGGTCCTGTAACAGCACTTAGTAATTTGAAAGTGCGAAGCGCACACCAAATAATGGGGCCACTCTAGACAGGCTATTTAGGGTTGACTGGGCCGCCGCAACATCGTCAAAAAACAAGAGGACATCGTCCGTATAATGAGGATCAACCAAGTTTTTACCAGGCAGGACCTTAACGCCTATATCGTGAGTGCAACGGAGCATTCCATGATGAATTGCACGACGAAGTTAAACAAAAATGGGGAAACTGGACAAGCCTGAGGAACGCCACTCGTTATCGAAAAGGCAAACGACAAAACCCAGTAGACCCTAACGCTGCCTGTGGTGTTCAAGTATAGAGTAGATAAAATGTTCACATATTTCATGGGAACACCGCACCGCTCAAGTATTTCGAAGAGAATGCATCGATCGACTGAATCGAGCGCACTCTTGAAATCCAGGGACACAGCTGTTGTCAGGCTGCCCGTACGTGTGGCGCTGCTCTAGCACCTGCCGCAAAGGGAATATGTAGTCTATACATCCACGTCCTGGGCGGAAGCCCGCCTGCTCATCCCTAATCCGTGATTCTCGTTCCGCAATGAAGCGTAAAACGAGAACTGAGGTGAGTAATTTTGGCAATACTGGCGTTAGACTAATACCACTGTGGTTAACAGTCTGTGCGACTGCCTTTCTAGTATATCACCACTATAAGTGATTCACTCTAGTTAGCTGGGATAGTCTCTGCGTTCCAAAACAGCCCGAACAGTGAGATCAGTGCTTTGCAGAAGAACTCACCTCCACTTTTACATAATGCAGGTGCGAGCGACTTCGGGCCAGCAGCATGAAAGCGATTGAGGGCTGTGATCGCATTTCGGACCTCAGCCTCAGACGGAGTCTCTAAACTTACTGGCCATGGTTCAGCCTGCAACACCTGAGTAGGAAGAGGTCCGGGAACAGGGGGATAAATGAGCTGCTCTTGAAATTGTTCCGACCAACGAGCCATGCGGCGCTCCTTATTGTGAATTAGAGTACCCGCGCTGTCTCTGATTGTTTCACTGACGCTTGGCTCCCTGGGATCAGTGGTGCGGATCAGCTGGAACAGCCTCTGATAATTGCCTACTGCTTCTGCTTCCTCCATTTCTAGAGCCCGACTGGTTTACCAGGCTTCCTTGTCAACGCGCAGGTTCCAGTTTAGTTCGCGTCTAATAGTCTGTCTGGTCACATTGTGCTCAGAGCCATCCGGAAGTTATCATCTGTACTCCAACAGATTCACCGACCTCTCGGATATCCAGTGATTAGTGCGGTGACTACTGATAGCACGGCAAGCAGATGATCCTGCGTCGTGCATACCAACCCAGATCCTATTCCATTGTAGTTCAGTGGCATTCGGATAAGAGAGCGGAAGTTCGGTACGCGGGACATGTCGGTAGGATTGCCTGACCGAGGGCTGAGATAACTTCCCAGTTCTCAATCTAAAGAGACACTTAGTATGCCTCTTGGAAAAGCTCATGGAAAAACGATAGCGGACCAGGGCATGATCAGAGTCGATGCAAGTACTCCAAAAAGAGTGACAATCCATTAGTAATCCATGATGGAATCACGCCACTTGTAAATTATGGCAACGTGATTTATTTGGGTCTATCGTTGGTCAGCTACAGGATGCCAAGTAGCACTTCGGAGCCCACTGTGTCTGAAAGCGGTACTACTAAGAAACAGCTGGTGTTCCGCACACCGCTGTAACAGACGCTCCCCGTTATTCATCCGTTCGGAGTTAAGTCCATACTTACCACCTAGCAAAACTTCTGAAGAGCTAAGACGACCTAACTGCGCATTCGTATCCATACAAGAACTGTGATATCTGAACTGGCAGTACTGAGTAGTAGTGTGTTCAGTTCGTGGTAGAAAGCATCCTTCGCAGCATCAGAGCTGCAATCGGTGGGGGCATAAGTTGAAACCACAAACAAACAGCGTCTAGTGCTACACGGTGAATCAACCTTAGATGATGTGATCAAACTGCACATAAGGGGCTGCTCACGGGAATCAGCCTTACAGCTGAAAACAATGCCTATTCCAGCTTGACCAGTGATTGCCGTATCAGCGCGTATCCTGATGCGCGCAACCAAAAGCGAGAGGACAAGCCGGGTGCAGTTAATTCAATAACCCCGTGAGCATCATTAATCCTAGTTTCAGATACACATCCCACGTCAATACCCAGCGTGTCTACCGTGAGTGCGAGTGCAGCATGTTGACCTGTTTGTCTTAGGGTGCGAAGGTTGAACGCCGCCAGGGAAAAAGGACAGTGCGGCCTTATAAGCAGCTGCTGGCGAGCAGTGTCCAGTGGTTTGTGTGGGAACATAGCTGTCCAGAATACGTAGCGAGCGCTGCAAGGGAATATAAAACAGCCGTGTAAGATGATGAAACAACAGATGAGTAATGAAGAAAATCGAGCGGGAAGGTGGTATGCAAGGGTTTAGTTTGCCCAAGCGGACGACCAGGCATGAGGAGTGCATGAATTCCCAAATAAAGTACCTGATGCGGAAGGCAAATATGTCAAAAGGATAGCGGTGAAATAATCAGGAAGACGTTAAATCGACTTGTTACCTATACAGAGAGTAGATAACGTAAATGGACGAGGGGCTAGGCCTTAATGAATGTCGTTTGACATCGACTGACTTAAGAAAACCGAGATCGGTAATAAATAAATGAAATCACGTCAGATAGTGTTGGAAACTTCAGTGTAAAATCATTTGTACATGCGTAGATTGGTTTGTGGAACGACAAACGCAAAAACACTCTCAAACCAAACGGACAAATGGGCGCTAGTGTTCCAGAGGTGAAAGGAAGCGTTCTGCATCAAAGCACTTAGCTTGGCCAATCAGTAACCGGGATTGTCCGGGCCCGAGTAGGTGTTGCGGGGATTTCACCTGATGGATAGTGAATGGTTAGCATAATGGGATAAGCACTAAGCTAAAAGATGTCCAGAAAAAGCTGATGGGTGAACAGGTAGATGGTGAGTGGCGTGATGGGAGCAGTCACTATACCAACCGATTGTTTCCAAACCTCTCTGAACTCATGACTACTCGATCGGTTCCAAGTATCTTCCAAGAATCTGTCAAATAAATGTTTGAAAGAACCATGCCTCATACATGATAGCATCTTAGACCGAGTCGGATTTCCATCTGGATGCTCGAAAAGCAAACCAGCTCGGAGAATCCTCGCCGTCACTTCCATCCAAATGACTGACAGGTGGTCCAGGACACGTGTGAACGTGAAGGAGTAGATGGAGTTAGAAAATCAGATAGTTGAACATGATCTGTGCAACGAATCGTATGGGGTTTAGTTGTAGTGACTCGAGATGTCAAATAATCATAATAGCAATCGTAAGCAAGGAATAAGTAGAAAATAAGTTTTCGGATGGAGCAATCAAAGGTGGAAAATAAAGGAGAACGTACGATAGTGATTCACAACAGTTTCGTGATTGTTATTTACAAGGCGGCTTATCATAAACAATCACTACAACATTCTTTTAGCTTAATAAGCTAATTAACTACTGCACCTGTTGCTTTAAAGCAAGGAAAATGGATACGGCTTTCAATTGCTTTATTCAAATAAATAAAACATTTAGACTCAAGCAATTTTTAGATAATCAAGAGGTGATGTACATTAGTTCTAACAAGTGCTGGCATATTTTGTGCGATTTCGGTTAAGACACATCGCAAGCCGTGCTCCGGATGACCGGTCTGGGATTCAAACACAGGACGTAAAGAGTGCCGTAAGTGGCTCAACTTTCCATTAAGCCCGTTTCGGCTTCCTAAATGTTAGCAAACATTCGAATTGTGTGTTTCCGCAGGGACTAAGGTAAATAAAAACAAACGAAATAGAGTTTTCACGTGGCTGGGTAGCAAAATAAATGCTATGGGTAGCAATGGCTATTGGGTCCACCTCTTCGCCGAGAACAGGACTAGGGCACGTTTACTGCAGGACATTTTGAAAGAAAACCGACGACATTGTTGCTGAATCAGGGGATGAAATAGCGCAGTTGCTCTCGCATGGGCAAAACCGAATGTTAACACTTTCCTAGTATGAACCCAAGTTTGAGCTTCGATGTTAGGGGATAGTAACGTTCTGGTACAAAATATGAGCAAGACAGTTGATGAATTCACTCACCTTATACGGCGTTTACCTCCTTCGTTGCGTCGGGCTGAAATTATTGCAAAAATTTAATGTACTATTTAGAGAAGAAGGCAAATTATGGTGGGACGTAGGAAAGTTTTCATCGGACGGGGACAATGGCTGCAGTGAGGCTTTTATGCAATACCGTACACTACTGAAAATGCTTCAGTAGCACACATGACACGAAAATGACTTGGAGGAAAAGGGAGTGGGTCACACATAAACTGTGGCGTCCAGTTTCCCTTTCTTTCGAAGAACTATGGGAGAATCGAATCAATACTACTCGGTGTAGGTTATTCACCACCTGATAACCAGTCCAGTAGTTGAGACTGGTGATGAGAAACAGCTCTGCCACGCGGAACCCCGATGCAAACAAACGACGGTTCTGGATGACTGTGTCAAAAACGACATAGATGTGGTGACGCATGGAAATGACAGCAACCTGTTTCGGACGTTATCGAAAAGTCGTCACATAGAACGAATAATCCACAAGTGCTCTGCATGAAGATGCTTTGCAGAGTTCAGGCAACGTGCAACGCCGACAAATTGTAAACAGATGAACCCCAGAGTGACATTAGACTGTGGTGATTTCATTGCTATTAAATTAAAATAGTTACTGACAATAAAGCTGGTTCTGGTATTTAGTCATATGTGAGAAAATAAAGTTTCGAGGTTCGGGTTAAGAAATTAGAGCGCTCTAAAATCGGAAAGCAGTTCAGTGGCGGTTAACAAAAAATAATCACTATACACTGACTATAAGTTTTGGTGCCGCGAAGAGCGGAGTATGATTGGTCACAAAAGTAGAGACAAGAATTGCGTGCGCGATCACAAGTTTGCAATGATCTTCAGGTTTACAAGAGGGATTATTCCGAAGCACTCGTTGTGTGAGTGGATTGCGACGCGCAATCTGAATGTCGGTCGCGATCCCCATTGAAGGAACCTTAGTTATTTTGATCACTACGGTCACATATGAAGCAATCAAATATTAAATAAATAAGTTTATTCTCGAATTTGTCGAGTCACACCAAATCAGGGATGATCATGGGGTTGTACTTAGAGTAACAAACCTGATGCGCAAGGATGAGAGGGTTCGACCCAGACGTAAAATACAATATTTCGTGATGGAGGCGAAAGTGAAATCAGCTGGGACATTAGTGAACAAAGTATGCTGCTTTATAAAGAAGCAAAAGAAAGTTCAGTTGCTCATTTGTTCGCTGAGCTGGGAAATTCGTTTGCAAACGTTTCACCGCCATGCGAGGCGGCATCATCAGTGCGTCGAGATGTGGACTGTAATCTCGCTGAGCAACTGAAGTATCAACCCGAGCTACCAGTTTTCTGAAATATTTTAAAAAGGCAAAAGAAAATTTGGTTGTGACGAGCAGGTGCGCAGGTAGCTCGCCGCACCGTCGCTCACATAGGCATCATATTTGAGCAGAGGTGCGGTGTGTGCCTCACCAAGCGACGACGACGTATACATCTATTGCAGAACTCAGTGCTTCAGGGACAAGCGTTTATTCAGCAAATTCAAGTCTGTGAAACTTAGGGCATGTTTGGCCAATCAAACGCCTCGATATAAGTTGCACGCTCAATTCCATAACTAACGACCCTTCTGAATCGTTGAGGTTCCCTCTTTGCTTCAGTTAAACAGACGGTGAATTACTCACATGAATATCGGCTTATCCGAGTCCAGTAGTCGAATCCGCTACGCCCGTCTCTCACTGGCTGTCTGGCTCTCTCGGTTGGTCCATCCGCTCAAGCTGATCTGACATGCTCATCACAACATCGGTAAATGGACTCTGGTGGTATCGTCTCCTTAAACGCTCAATATGAAGCACCAATGGAGTAAAGTCGAGTATCTGTGGCGACCACTACAGTAGATGGCATTTTCCAAACACTGTTGGTTGTACTCCACTTCGACTATCATTATCTCAGAAGTGTAAAAAAGGGCGAAACCGATCGTAGTTGTGTAATGCTGTGTTTCAACCAGCGTGAGTGTACACCGAAAAACAGAGGCACTGCACTTGCTGACGATATGTGCCGAATGTAACGGATAGTCGAAAAATAACTTCTCACACAAACGACTATTTACTGCGATTCAGTCAAGTAAAATGCCATCAAATTTTATACTGAGTTGGGCGCTGTTAAGGGAGCCCGTCTATAGCAGCCTTTGGAGCTTGTCCTTTCGCTAGCAGCGCGGAAAGATTGGATCCAACGCAGCCAATGAGAGCGGCTCAGCTTGATGTTCACTAATGAGAATGATCTATATAATAGTCCACTAGTGAGTGCACTTTTTGAGAAGCCAACAGTCGCGTTTTCAGGCATCTAGTAGTTGCTGCAATCCAGGAACTTCCAGTTAGGTATTCCTCTCATTCTTGAACCCATCTTTGACTGTATATACTGTTTTGTCGAGTGCTCATTAGTGGTTTCGCCCAAAGCCTGTCTTTTGATCTAGGAAGTCGGCCGGTTCAGACTGCACAGCAGCAACAGGTTATGTGTACAGTCAGCATAAACCACAATAGATGCCAAAATCACAAAAAAACCTGACTTGGTATCGTAACAGAGGTAAGGAAGATAGTCACCGTCACTATGACCTGGGCCAAGCAGTTGAAGACCGATCAAGACGCTAGTCTCGCAAGCGTTTCAGAGCCCGCAAGGTGGTGCAACGGCTGACAAGTCTGGCAGACACTGAAAGACATGATGCGAAATGTGATGAACAAACTAAATGTTATAATCTTCTCCCTAGGACGCAATTCCAAAAAGTAACAATTTACTGCTCCCCAAAACTTCTAGCCCAACCAAAGAAAAAAGCAGAACGCCAATGACCTTGACAAAAGTATTAATCGCCGCCAACAAGCACTGTCCAACTACTGCGGACCTTGGCTGTATTTACAAGTCTCTTACTGACCTTCAACTTCTAGAATTGGAAGGTCAGCTACCAAGGTTAGTGGTTTCCCATATCTTTTGCCGAGATGTTTGGAGGTTTTTAGTCACGTGCAAAACTAGAACATTCCGGGACGTGCGAAATCGATGCGATAATCATTAATAATCGATTAACCGCTAAAATAGCGGATTTCCTAGACAATTGTTACTTTCTTCCGGGCCCTAAAGATAAACCATCAGCACAGGCCACGGAGTTAGGTCTGTTACCGATTACATAGGGAAGCCGAGAATGGAAACAGAAATGAAAATGTCCGTTGTCTGAGTTAGTTACGCAGATGATATGTTCAGATTGTGCATTATGAAAAATGTTTGGTTTAAGACCTTCCACTTCTAATCTTTAACCCGATGGTCATTACACGCAGCCTTACCAGAGACTAACAACAAACTTATTTTTCAAACATTTCAAAAATGCTCACAAGGACGTCCAACCGTCAATGGGTTTTGGCGAGTTTTCATCCAACTTACAAGCGGATACCCATATTCGGACTAATAGTAAACCAATAACCAATAGTAAACCAACTAATAGTAAACCAATGAGCAATGGGCTTGAAGATCCGCTAACCAAATTGGGTTTAGAACCTTGTCTCCCATAATCAATTGTGAGAGATGATGACCATCGGTGTCTCCGACATTCCACGATGAGTATCGTATTTCAACTACTGACTTGACCTGTGCCATACGAACGGCACTAGAAATACAAAAGTAGTCCAATTTGGCATAGACTAGTGAATTGAAGGCGCGTAAGTAACCGCACCAGGTTACTGTTCTGTCTCATCGAGAGAGAGAGTCTTCAACGCCCAGTTGCCGCTCGCGTGATCCATAACACAAATACTAGTAGATTAGTGCGGCATAGCATAGGCTGATAAAATATCCCGGGAATAGACATCAGAGCAAATGTTAGCGAACAAGCTCGTTTTCAGTGGTTCCTCATCAGATTACTACACCACACATGAATGACATGAACGTAAACATCAGTTAAGAGTACAGGTTCAAAAAACCCAGATGGTCTGAGTGACCAAGCTAGGCGATTGGCCACACGGCGATCAACAGTTTCGGGAATCATCAGCAGTGCGCATTCCATCGGACCCTTGGTAGGGCTCGAAACCGCAACTCGAGTGTTGCCAGTCCGTGGTTGAGACCACCGAGCTACGGGGGACGGTAACGACCATCGTGAATAAGTTACTAGATGTGATATAGCGCCGCTCACTATCACATCTAGTAACTTATTCACGATGATCGTTACCGTCCCCCGTAGCTCGGTGGTCTCAACCACGGACTGGCAACACTCGAGTTGCGCACTCCTGATGATTCCCGAAAGGATGAAACGCGCGTACAGTGCTTTTCCGGGCATGTGGCGGCTGTTGAGTGAGCCTAGATGTGACGAAGTTCTACCTATACTATTCAACTCCCCCTCCTATTCTTCTGTGAACAAGAGCATGTTTGTGTGTATGCGTGTGTGGCGTTGTCCACACTATGTGTCCGTGTTACATGGGACCAGGGTAGAGTTAGCTTCTGTACAAATTTGTTTTGCGCACATAGGTCAAGGGACATGAAACGTGATGGCTATTGCCTCGGCCGCTACCAGTAGATGACATCTAACCGCTCTTGTGTGACATCTGGGTACGCGATAGATGGGCTGAAACGCCTCATGCGCTCTGACTTGATGGGTCGAGTCGATCAGGTGTGCAGACACTGCGCTTGCCACTGATCTAGTCACGCCGCTATACAGCCAAGCTGGACAGTGTTCCCTGGCTCTCTCGGACAGTCTCCTGGTAGTTCTTCCGATATATCTTGCTCGATACGAGCAAGAGATCGCCGTGTGGCCAATCGCCTAGTTTGGTCACTCAGACCATCTGGGTTTTTGAACCTGTACTCTTAACTGATGTTTACGTTCATGTCATTCATTTGTGGTGTATTAGCCAGATGAGGAACCACTGAAAACGAGCTTGTTCGCTAACATTTGTTCTGATATCATGGACTGTTCGGCAGATTTCTGGTATGGCTGAAACGTTGCAATCTTGCACATAATATACTGAGACGCGTAGTATTCTCTTCGAAAAACTGAAGACCAGAGTTAAAAGCTTCTAT